TTCCGCTTCAAGTTGCTGTCGCAACTTTGGAGTCAACTGTCTGCTGATCTTTGTGGTTTGCTTGGGGAGTTTCCCGATCTAGAGGTCATCGAGCTCCTCAACGGGGGTAGGCCGCTCGTCGCGAGCGTCAGATCTTGGATCGATTTGGGCGTTTAGTGGGGATGCTCAAAGTAGGTTGGCTCACTCCAAGATGAAGATGGAGGTCACTCTACATTTCCTACTCTCCAAGGGTGGAGATAGGAGAAGGTTAGACGAATCAAACCTAGTGACTAAGGATAAGATGTTGAGGCATGAAATGCTCACTGAAAATCAATATAATCCAAAGTGTGTACAAGGTGCTAGGCTTGGGTATTTATAGAAGTGGAAGGCATCTAGGGTTGCATTTGGAGAGTGCATGGCCGAAAATGCAAGGCCAAATGCACACCAAATGAAACCCAAATTAACCCTAGATGTAACTTGGTGGCCAAGGATGGAATCTTTGGTTTTAGTTAGGCTACGTCTAGGTGCATGATAAGACCATGCAACCTTTGTCCTCCACTTGGGCCTAAGCCTTTCTAAGTCCAAAAATAGGTCCAATAATCACCAAAAATGCGTCTAGCCCTTTTATCACCCTAATCAAATACCTTAGCTCAAAAATAAAATCCTAAGATCTAAAGCACCCCATAATAATACAAGTAAAAATAAATCCTATGACTAAAATACCCCAAAATACAAGGGTAAAATGGCAAATAAAAATAAAATAAATCCTATGTCTAAGATACCCAAAATACAAGGGTAAAAATGGAAAAATAAATACAAGGGAAAAATAGGCAGAAAAGATAAATTATATGCTAATAAGATTAGGAGAAAGATTGATATTCCTTAGCCAAGGGAAACATGTCTCTAGGGGTGTTAGCTTTCCTATACTCTTCCTATCTCCTAGCCATGGACTTTATTGATGGATCCCACATGAAGCTCCAAGGATGGTCCTCCATCACTACTACCCAACAATTATTTCCACACCCCCGAGCGAGGTTTCCCACTCCCCACTTTCTTGGATAAGCAGAAGATGAAGCTAGAGCAGAATCTGGTTGATCTCTTTCTCTTGGTTCTCCTTGTTCTTCAAAGAGTGTGTCAAGGAACAGTGTTAAAGTATGCTATTTATAGAAGTCAGAAGTGGCCAGAACGGCCCGTTTCAGATCCAGAATGGCCTGTTCTGGATTCATTTGTCATATGTTAAATTCGCATCTAGAATTACCCATTCTTAAACTAGAATAGTTCGTTCTGGAGTTGAGTTTTAACTCATAAAGGCCATGTTTGGAATGACTCGTTCCCAACTAGGGTTTATAAGCCTTTTTAGTAGTTTGGAACGGCTCGTTCCAGTTTAGGAACGACCCGTTTTGGGCTACTAAATCACCCTTATTGGGCTTTGAGCCTTCATATAATTTGTGAAAATCAAGGTGTTATAAGATGGATGTGTAGCCACACAAGAATAAGATATGGAATGAGTGTATGCAAGGAGATATTAGCGACTCCAAGTGATTAAAAGATAATAGAGTATCGGTTAAGGTGATTTGGAACACTCACAAAGAAGACTATTGGAAATACTAGTGGGGAGAAGAATAGATTGCATGGTTTTTATTCATGTGAAAGGAGATAGATTGCATGGTTTTTAGTCATGTGAAAGGAGGAAAGGGAGACCAAAAGGGGTATTGGAGAAAATTATTAAGAGAGATCTCATGGTAAATTTGGTCTTTAACTAAGCTGAATGGCATCATGTGATCCATGTAGCCAACCTCTTTTAATGGGATAAGGCTTTTGTTGTTGTTGTTTTTTTTGAATAGTATGATATTTAATCATTCATGACATATTTTGTTATTGAAGACCATAATATTACTTTTATGTTTTATCCATGTATATACATTATACCTACAAAGCACCATGCATCACATAACTTTTGCGATAGGCACCAGATCAGAACCACACAAACTGAGATATGTATCATCTCTTCTAAGCTGACACCAACTTCTTATCAAATTAGTGGGCTCTAGGCTTAGATATGTGTTATACAAAACTGATGGAAACATGTCAAGGCTAAGAAGACCAAGAGGTGATACATTAAAGGAACCAAGAGGAATGAGATGATTTTGAAGACCTTTTATATGTTTGTGTACATTGTAGTTACTTGTATATGTTTATTTTGCCTTTGTATTTGTGAGGCATTTTGTTTCCTTTTTATAAACCATTGTATTGTGAATTTAGAGTAGGTTCTTTGGAGATTTTTAATTCATTTGATCTTGTATTAAAGGTCACTCATTTTACATTTTTCAGTAGTAGAAGTGGGATGACAATTAGCAAAGCTTGAGGGTGAAACTTGTAAATGGGTCAGAGTTAGGCCGAGGCCAATTTTTATATATTGGACTTGTTTTTCTCCATTCCTTGGTCTCCTCCTCTGAGTGCCCCTCGGTCTTTAGAGAGTGTAAAAGGAAAAGAAGAGAGCAAAGAAGAAAAGAAGAGAAAAGTGAAAAGTGTGCTTTTTGGGAGTGCTAGAGTGCTTTATTTATAGGAATCAGCTGTCTCCAGAATGGCCCGTTCCAAATTCGGAACGGCCCGTTCTGGACCCTTAAATCATGAGTAAAATTCACATTCAGAATAGCCCGTTCTCAAACCAAAACGGCCCGTTCTGGGTTTGCATAAAAAACTCTCAACGATCATATTTTGGAACGGCCCGTTTTGAAACCAGAACGGTCCATTCTCAATAAGGTTTAAAGGCCATTTCTGAAATCCAGAACGGGTCGTTCCAGTTGGGAACGGCCCGTTCCCAACTAAGAATCATAGGCAAATTTAATAGTTTGAAACGGCCCATTCCGATGTGATATCATCATATTGGAATTGAGGGTGAAAATCTATTTAAGACAACTTTACACCAAGCTATTTAAGTATAAATTTCTATTGTATGAAGTGAATTTTCTAGGTTTTGTAATTTCTAGTGGAGATATAATATGGTAGAAGTTGTGGATACATAAGTCAATTAGTGAGGTTAAGAGTTTTCTTGCATTAACTTATTAATATAGGAGATTTATTGAGGAAATTTCTAAGATAGCATTACTTTAGTTTGGATTAACCAAGAAGAGAGAGTTGTCTTTATGGAATAGTAAGTGTGAAAGTAGTTTTCGAACTCTTAAGGAAAGATTGACTAGTGTTAAGATTACCGGACTCTAGTAAGTCTTATGTGTTATATAGTGATGCTTCGGAGACGGGTTTGAGTGGATTGTTGATGCAAGAAGGAAAGGTAGTAGCTTATATTTCTAGGCATCTAGGTAGAAAATTACCTTACCCATAACCTTGAATTAGAGATTGTAATATTTACACTTAAGAAAACACATTTTCTATTGTTTTAATTATTTTGAAATTCTTAATTTGATGTGAAAAATTGTCATTTTAGATTATTTTTACTTTAGATGAGTTTTTAAAATTTCCAATCAAATGGTACTCATTTTTAATAGTTAATCCATACGTATGTGAAAACATATCAAATAAAATTTATATATATAACATTAAATTATATTTCAATAACAATCGAATACGGATGAAATATTTTAGAATTTACCTAATAAAAGGAATAGTGCAATATGAAGTGTAGAATATTTTTAAAAATTGTGTACGATTAAAAACAAGAGTCAACTTCCCTACTAAAATTGTTAAAAATATCGTACAGAATCTTTATTTAGGGACATTATGAATAAAATTGATGCTCAAAAGTTATGCACATTAAATTAATTAGTTTTAAACTTAAATATATTTTTAATTTTGATAAAATAAATTAGTTTTGATTTTGATTTTTGTAAAAAAAAAAAAAATTATTCTTCATCTTTCTAAAATTTTTAAACTTTAATTTTGGTCTTGTTAAATATATTTTTTGATCCTTGTAAAATAAGTAATTTTAATTTTGATATCTGTGAGATATATTTCTTCAACTTTCACTAGCTAAAATCACCATTTTTTTTCTCTTATGATGATTTGAAGGTAGATAAATTTTATTTTAATAAGAACCTATGAAAATAAATTAAAAATGTTATACACTAATATAGTATTACTAACACATAAATAACACTTGAGATGGATACTATTTTTAATAAATAAATAATTAATTAAAAATAATTACATAATATATAACATAGACTAAAATTCAAAAAGTAACCATTCTAAAAGTTTAGAGGATGGAAAGAAAATTACAGGAACCATAATAGAAATTTGCTCATTTTACAAGGATTAAAAATATATTTAAATTCTAATTTTATATTATATAAATTTTTTGTTTCATGCAGTGATTGTATTTTAAAAATAATTAGTAAATTAGTTGCTAATTGATTGTTAGAGGTATTGATATGGCCAAACTAAATGAATCAAATATTTTAATCATGAACTTACTAAATAGAAATTATAAAGATGATGCTAGTGTTCATAGATTAAAGGGTGTAAATGGTTTGGTGTTGCTCAAAATAGGGAACTTCAAGTTACAATATTATGCAATTCTTATAATTTTGTCATGCCATATGAGCATGCTTTTATTAGGTGATGGTAGGAAATCATTGTGGGAATGGGGGAGTGAATTTGTTGAGATTCATATGTAGCTATAAACTATAGTTGGATTGTAATTTATAGTGCGTGATTCAAATATAAATTACCTCTAATCAAGGATAATGTAGTAAGTTATTTGTATAATTTGCTCTCTTGTAAATGAATTTATCGTACTCTTTTACTTATTTTAATATATAAAGGTCTTTTATTGATAAAAAAAAAATAATTGATATGAATCAGAATAATTTTTATTTTAAAAATTAATTTTATAAAATTGAATAAATATTAAACTCTTTTTACTAAGATGGTACGTATATGTTTAGTCATTAGTATGAGTCTATTAAAAATTTCACATCCATCAATATAATAACTAAATAAAATATATAAATAAACAATATTAATTTTATATACCAAGTTTATAAGGTTGATAAGTATAAATCTACATTCTTAACATTGATTTAATAAATTTGCACGCACCAACTGGCACCGACATTATAAGACAACTGTACACAAAAATCTTATCCATTTTCTTGTCTTCTACCTATGTGAAGAAAAATTAATATCACGTGGGTTTTAATGTTGTGGTGGAACAACTGAACAAGCTGGCATGCAAATACAACAATGATAAACTTTGTCGGTTATTATATAGTAACACATGTTTGTGAACCTTGCAAATAATGAAGACAAACAATACAGAAGATTACAAGCAACCAATACCAGAACTAAAGTCTAGTTTTTCAATGCTTGGTGTGAATAATGCCACCAAGTCTTAGTCTTTGGATTCAATTTCATCACCACTCCAATTTCTTTTGAGCTTAGGTCCTGTGGGTCCCTCCTCTCCCAACAACTCATTTGGCAAAACTTCTTCAAGCTCTTGCAAAGCAGGGAAAACCTTCTCTAACTTGTCCAACTCCTTTGCAACATCATAGGTAATTTTTGGACCCCATTGCCTTAAATAGTTGATCCATGGTGGTTCCACAATTTGTGACCCCAAATAATCACCAGCAACAATTTCAAATCCCACCCCCATGTCAATCACCATATCACTTTTGTTGGAAGTTTCATTCTTTAATCCAATCCCATCAAGGCCTTGCATCACAACTCCTGCTTTTGGGTAAATGGCATGGCCATTTAAGGAGGAATAAGCCACTGATTTGTTCCCACTTTGGAACTCAAGTTGAGGAGCCTCAACCCATTTACCACCACTATGTTGGGACATATACACCTGTTGAAAAAAAATAATATCATTTTATATAAGAATAATATCTTAAAAACTTAAAATTAAAAATTTGAATTATTTTTTTAACAGAACGCACCTTCTTTAATTCTCCATTGAAATTGCTCACCCTTAGTGTCAAATGTTCCCAATCTCCAATGTGTTCTCCTATTTCTCCTAATGGGATATCTATGACCCCAACTCTGGCTGTCCCAGGCCCATTGAATGGATAAAAAACCCACATGGCAAGGTCAGTGAAAATTCCACCAAACATGGGTTTTGCATGAACATAGGCTTGGCAACTCTTGTAATCCCCTTTCTTGACTTTCTTTTGGTTAGCTTTGTCAAGAGGTAGGTCCAACCAATACTCACCATCATTGTTTCCACCCTGAGGAAGGTTAGACCCATTAGGTTCTACTCCCACAGGTTTGGACTCTTCACCTTTCTTGTAAAGCAATGCCCCATTTGTGAAATACCACTTGGTAGAAGCAGGTTGGTACTTTTCCTCATTGTGCAAGTACATGAAAGGAGAGTAGGCTTTGAGGAGTGCCTCAACTTGGGGCAAATTAGGCATTGAGGAGAAATCCATGTTGGTGTTCTTCAAACAAGCAATAGGGAGAGGGGAAGGAGTTTCACCATTATGTGCCAAAAAAGTTCCCACAAGAACACCAGGGGCTTGAATGCCCCTATTGCTAGGTCTCACTTCATTAACATTGAAACCTTTGTCATCACTGCTCTTGCTTGGTCCCCAAATCCATGAGTGAGTCTCACACTGGTCTGTGAGATCTGACCTAACACACCTGATTTTGTCAAGTGGAGGCTTATCAGGTGTGGTGGTGACAACATGGCCTAAGGCCTTGTATCCTTCAGGTGCTGTTGGTAGCCAAATGTATCCATCTTTGTCTTGTTTTATCTTTTGTGACTTGCTGCTCCACACTAGTGTGTAATCATTTGGTTTCTTTAAAGCACCATTTTCACTTGATGATGATGATGAGTCATCTTTTGCCACCAGAACCCACCCAAAAAGAGGGTTGTTGTTGGGTTGGCTGTAGTGCCCTAATGTGAAGAACCCTTCTGGTATTCCTGCCGGCTCAAAGAAAGATGCACCTTTGTTTCCTGGTCCACCTTCTAAGGTTGTCCAAATTTTGTTGAATGATGAAATTTGAATCAGTTTTAGGTCTCCTATTTTGATGGTTCCAGTAGCAAATCCACCACCTACATGTCAAGTTGCAATTCAAAATAAATTAGATAAAACTTGCATACAATATCATAAAAGTGATTTATGATATTCTCTAATTAGAATTATAAAATTTTATCATGTTAATATACATCATAAAATAATTTCATTATATATCAACATAAATTATCGAGATAAAACTTTAATTTTAATTAAATTATAGCACTAACTTTGTGTTTAAGAAACATGTAATTAGAAGTATATAAATAACACTACAGGATCAGAAAGGAAAATAAATCTGCACCTTGTGGCCAAACTGGTATATTTGCAGGAAGCTTAAATTTGGTGTCGATGGGAAGAGTTTCTATCTTGTTTGAAGAGGATTGGTTACCCATCATGTGGAGTTTTTCTAGAACAAGGAGATTGAGTAATGTTTTTGTGTTGTGGCAATAAATGTGGTTTATTGGTTATTATATAGCAAATGTAAGAGCCTAAGAAGAATATTCCTCTCGTGTGCGCAATTTGATAATTTATAATTGAACTAACTATAAACGTGCAAGGCTTTTTTAACGTGATATGATATATACTAATTTCAAAATATTTGTGTTCCCATACACGAAACTTCTTGTTGCCTAGCAATCTTATCGTCAAGGTAACTTGCTCATATAGTTCATAAAGAAGGGCTTGTGTGAATAAGTGTCTTTCTTTCAACTATTTAAATACTTCATTGATAATGGATTGCTCATGTTTATTAGCTAGTAGAGCTACTAGCTGTCAAATTTGACCAAGTAAAACAAAGCAACAACTGTTATTGGATTGAACGTGTCAAGTACACATTGTGTCAACTATCAAAACATATATTAATAGAGTTAATCACTTATATACTACCAGTGTAAAAAAATTTTACACTAGTAACCAATTAGATCTTTTAATTGTGTCATGTCATTATAAACACATTTACTTTTAACAGTGACATGACACAATTAAAAGATCTAATTAGTTGTCAGTGTAAAAAAACTTTACACTAGTAATATATAGATGATTAACTCATATTAATTAATATATAACTATATATTTACTTTTACATTTCTTGTTGAGTCTTTCAAAATTATTATCACAAGAACATGTTGCCCAAAAGTTATTATGTGCGTGTGTCAATTGCAACAACCAAATACGTGGGTTTGGTTGTTAATATTATGTGTGTGTTAATTTTTCAAGTGTAAAACAATAATGCTAAGTGATCAAATACTTAGGGGAACATAATATCTCGTATATATAATTAGCATTATATTATAAAAATTATTAGTTCAAATGATTTAACTTCTTAGATATAGAGATACCATTTTGTTTTTATGGAGATTGATTCTGGTGAAGAGAAATTATACTTCTTTCTCAAATCAGAAAAAATAAAAATAAAAAATGAACGTTTAGAAATTTTTTATTTAGTACCGTCTTGTTATATACGCGTATATAGATAAGTTTTACGTGAAATTTATGATAAAATTCAAAGTTGAAATCAATCATGTGATTTTAACATGGAACGGATTAGATGCAGCGTGTTTTTTTTTTTATAAAAAAATTAAAATGTTTTTTATTCTCTGAATAAACTTTATATATTATTGAGACTAAAAATATATAAATAAAAAATACTCGAAATACAATTTATTAAATTTATCTTGCTATTGACCTTCAACTACAGTTAGGTTTTACACTAATTAAGTTTTGCCTTAAATTTTTTGTTTATTTAGTATAACAAAATCTGCATTCATACGTCGATAGCTTGTGTTAATTGTTTGACGTTGACGTATATTATGAATATTGCATATGCGTCTTCGATCAGCAACAAGTATTCAATTCAAAGTATTAAAACACGTTCTTCATAACTAGAAGGACACTCCACAAAAACAAAAACGAAAAAAAAAAGGGAGAAAAATTCTTGTAATTAGTTATATGATGTTGGTATATAATTTTTATGTTTAAACTTAAAAATGAAGGAATAGTGGACTTCAAGATTAAGATGTTTATAATCAAAATTTCAGGATTTTCTTTAAAAATAGAACTGCATGTGTTTAGAGAAATAATTTTCTAGTAAAGTTCCAACTGAAAAAAGAAAAAAAAAATCTGCTATCGCTTGTTTGATGACTAGAAAAATATTAGACACTTTTTTTTAGGGAACACTCTGTTATTAATTAATTAAATTTCATGTGAATCTTAACTCATAAAAAATTCATCCATATAAATAGTGTGTCGGAGATGATGATCAAGTTAAAATTATTGTCAGTGTGATATTTTAATGTTTCATTTTACTTTGATTTGTTTTTTTAAACTCTTGAAAATAGTTTGGAAATGAACATAAGTTTCGTCGTAATTACCTTCTATACAGCGTAGCCGGATTAGTATAACATTTTTTTTTATGACAATATTATATTATTTTATGTTTTTCTCGTGTCTGACAGATCAAATATTCTATATTCGATGATAAATAGTTAATATATAATGGTTTTTTAATACAAAGCAATCTTTACGGGGATACCAAATGTTTGTTTTATTGTTGCTCATGTATTCACCACCTCATAGGTAGAAACTAATTTCTGATATACAGTAATGTATTCCAGGGACTGATTTTTTTAATAAATACTTTTTTATACACGTAAATTTAGAAGATAATTTTTAAATTTTAATCAAGTACTTAAAAAAAGAGCTGATCATCTATACACTGTCAGTGTAAAGTTTTTTACACTAGCAACCAATGATATATTTTAAAGTTGCTTATTTTATTATTATTTCATTAAATAAACAACTGACATAATACTATTAAAAGATATGATTGGTTGCCAGTGTAAAAAATCTTTACACCGACAGTGTAAGGTGATTAACTCTTAAAAAAATGTATATATGTATTAGGGTCACTAGAAAAAATATTTGAAATCACTCGAAAAGGAGGAGGTTTTGAAGAGGTATCTACCAAAGAAGAATATCAGAAACCATAAGCATGCCTATTCGAGGATTGATCGAAAAAATGCAAAGAAGGAGTTACTGGAGGTTTCTGAGCAGTTTGAGTGGTTACAATAAGGTAGTTACTTAGTCGAAGAATTGAAGAACGTGGGGTGAACGGTTATAAGAGATTACACGTCATTGGCGTAGTGGACAGCGGTTGCGCATCCACGACGTACTGGCACTACTAGAAAAATTAATATTTGTGACGAATTTTGTGACGGAAAAAATAGCATCGCTAATAGTGATGCATTTTGTGAGGGAATTTTAAGTTTTGTGACGGACTAAAATTTATTGACTTTTGTGACGGATTTTGTGACGGAATATATTCCGTCTCTAAAAATCCGTCACAAATTTCGTCACTGAATCAAAAAAAAAAAATTTGTGACGGATTTTGTGACGGAAAATTTTTCGTCTCTAAAAATCCGTCAAATTTCATCACTAAACAAAAAAAAATGTTTGTGATGAATTTTGTGACGGAATAAACTTCGTCTCTAAAAAATTCGT